TATTCTCTATTATTGTGTTATTATAATGTGGTGCATGATGGAATGCACTTCCTGTCTCTTAGTACCTATATAAACTATGATCAAATATTATATCCTTGTTCTTTCTAATTGAGTAATTGTCTCTGACCTTCTCTCTGAATCTTTTTCTCTTTGTTATTGAGTAAAACATTACACTTGTGTTCTGGAGTCTTGTTTTTCTACTAGTGCTAGTCTTCCAAAGAAATCTTCTCCAATCCTTGGTGGCCATTCTGTAGCAACAATAGGTTGGTGTTTGTAGTGTTGTCTCATATTGTCAGCATATCCTTGAACATCATCAGGTAGTGAACTAATGGGTTTAGCTACATCAGACTGACCTATTGATCAAGATGCATAAAAACAATGTATACACATTAAATAATTTATTACCTCTTATATTAGTAACTGGTGTATTGGATATATCATCAACTGGTGATGGTAGTACAGTATGTGAACTGACATTATCAGGTATAGACTGACCTAATGTATTGAGATATAATGACTATATTGATCACTGATAATGTACACACACACTCACCTAACTGGTGTAATATAGAGGTAGCAATATCTATTAGTGTACGATGTTGTTGGTTTATTAATACATGACATATATCAATAAGATACTGCTCTGGATTAAGAGAGGATTCCAACTGTTGCTCAATGACATTCACAAGTTTACTAGATTTCTCATTATTGGTTATTCCTGTTACATGCATCTCCTCTTTAGTTTGTTGTGGTATCAGATCTTTAGCATACAGTGCATCAGTTACATTGTATAGATTCACACTAATAGCGTGAACTAATTTATCAGAATGAGTCCTTAATATATCCTTTGGATTACCTGCAGTAGTGTATCAGTTAATGAGTGTTGTATTAAGTGTATGTTTACCTGATGTAGTACTAGTAACAGGTTTATTAATTACAGAAACTGATGATGATACAGTAGATACTACTGGTACAGTACTAGTAGGAGCATCAGTATTACCTATTATACATTTAATATAATTATTAATATATGAATACATGATCATACCTCCTGTACATTGATGTACTTGTAACTGATCATTAATAGTTTGTAATAAATTGATCTCTTCTCTTTTAGTCAATGCAGTGAGTACATCTCTCCATGTTGCTCTAGGATTCTTTTTCAGCCATTTAGAGAAGAGGGCTCCTTTACCTTGTTCAGCATCAATTGCAAAATCTTCAATTGTTGTAATATCTTGTTGTGTTATTCCAGGTAAGAGAACACCAAATGATTGCCAGTCAACAAGTGGTTCAAGCCATTGAAGTAACAGGACAATATCAGGTCGATCATCAATCATAGGACCAGGATTGAGTTCAACATCTCCTGATAAGAGGAGGAGGAGAAGTAAAACCAAATAGTAGATCAGGTCAGAGCTGCTCCCAATAGTAGCTATAAACAAGACTAATGACTGGAGGCAGTGGATCATAACAGTAACAGTAATTATACCTATTGTAAATACACTGTATGATAATATTATATACTGTTAGTTTGTTTACCAGTTCGAGGAATAAAATTGAGCTTCATATATCTTAATAAAGATAAAAGAAGAGAAACAATAAGAGACAGAGCTGCTGGCAGTTTAGATGTCTTCTCTCCTGATGTAGTACTGCCTGACTTGCTGTCTACTGCAGCTTTGAATGAGTGAGAGTGGCGGCCATTAGCTGGTCTACTGGAGGCAGCTTGACAGTAGTTCCAAAGTCCAATACTTGCTCTCCATTGAGAGACATCAATCATCTTGTAATTATTAGTAAAGTATAATTAAAATGAACTATAATATACTTACCTCTATCACTGTTAATGATCAACTGTTGTAAGATAAAGAAATGAAAAGATACAGTCAAAAGTACAAGCCAGAGGTACAAGCCAATTATGCTGCACAGCTGCAGTTGAAAGAGGGCGTGGCTCCTTAACGACAAGCTCCACCTACAAACCTATTTAGCCACACCTCCTGATTTGATTACTGTAGAGATTCGAGGTAACATAGTTTGTGCTAGTTTTTCTTTATACTTATATTATCTTTTCAATCAGTTATTGATCTTATATTGTCTTTTAGGTACTTTATAGTCTGTGTATTAGTGTATCAGTACCGTATATACTCGTATTGAATCAGTTGGCATGGTAACTGATAAATAAAGGTGTGGTCTATACTGAATCTCATTCTAGTTCTATAGGTATTGGATGATGTCAGTACAGGAAGGATCACGTGATAGGTCACATGACTTGATATCAACTGCCGTTCCTCGTGTGAACGGGTGGGAGTGTCCCTGGCACCCACTTCAAGTGAGAAACCACACCCACTAATGACTGCGTAATATTTATTAGCGTTTTAATAAAAAAGACATTCCTTTATCCTTTTAAAGATATTACAATATAGGGGTATATTTCCCAAATATACCCCTAAAATATTCCACGAAAATTGCCTTTCAACCTATTCGCAGGAAAAAATTTTTGCATTTTTCTTCTACTGACTATTATTAGTATGGTAAGAATAGTTTTCATGGATAAAAATTTTCACGAAGTTTTTTAAACCGTGAAGTGAGCGAAATTAAATCTAGAGTTGCACTGATACAAGAATTTGCTGATATTTCAATTAATGGATTATGCTGTACAAAAACTGCCAATACAGATGTACAGTAAATACTAGTCTCGCCACGCCCCTTCGCTACCTGTGGAGGAAGGGTCTGGAGACACTCACGGTAAAAATGTGTGCAAAGAAAACCACGTGGTTGGCTCTACATCATGTGACAGAGAAGACCAGATCAGTCAAAACAGCTTAAAGA